CCTCCCAACTTCAAGTGATTCTCCTGCCTCAGCCTCCCAGTAATTTTTTTTTTTTTTTTTTAGCAGAGTTGGGGCTTCACCACTTTGACCAGGGTGGTCTCAAACTCCTGATCTCAAGTGATCCTCCTGCCTCAGGCTCCCAAAGTGCTGGGATTACAGGCATGAGCCACCGTGCCCAGCCAAAAGTCTCCTTCTTGAGTCTAAATTGCTTCAAATGCATAGAAGATCCCATAAAATTGAAATACAACATATAGCAAAGTAAGTCATAGGGGCGATGTAGGAATTAATGTTTCACGAAATGCAGACATTTATGTACAGACAGGTGATGTTATAGATAATAAAGCTAGGACAGGTGATGACCTAAGTCTATTTTGCTGAGCAAAGGGTACCAAAGGGCAAAATACTTCAATTAAGAGAACCATTCATCTCAATATTTAACTCTGATGTGACTGTTTAAGTTGCATTCCAACAGACATTACCCAGAATACTGAATAATGGAACTGCTAAGAAAGGGAACATGTTACAATTAACATCTTAATATAGAATTTCAGCCTATTGGCAAATACATTGGTTCCTGGGATATTGAGCTTTGAAGCAACATGCTCTACAATACTCCTAAAGCCACCAGATATTAGGAAAAGCTGAACATTTCGCTCCTGTAGGCGACTTACCAGTTCCCTGAAAAAATAAAATACAACCAAACACTGAGTAATACAAAAGGGAAAAAAAAATGAAACACAAAGAGGAAACTAAGATACATTTTCTTCTCCTGAATGCATTTGCCTGAGGTATATTTGACAAGGTATATTGCCTGGGGTGTTAATGTTTTATATATGTTTTTCTCTTTCTTTTCTTTTAAGACAGATTTTCACTCTTGTCACCCAGGCTGGAGTGAAGGGGTGCGATCTCTGCTCACTGCAACCTCCACCTCCCGGGTTCAAGTGATTCTCCTGCCTCAGACTCCTGAGTATTACAAGCCCGTACCACAATGCCTGGTTAATTTTTTTTATTTTTCTTTTGAGATGGAGTCTCGCTCTGTCACCCTAGCTGGAGCGCACTGGTGTGATCTTGGCTCACAGCAACCTCTGCCTCCCAGGTTCCAGTGATTTTCCTCCCTCAGCCTCCCAGGTAGCTGGGATTATAGGCGCCCACCACCATGCCCAGCTACTTTTTTGTATTTTTAGTAGAGACTGGGTTTCACCATGTTGGCCAGGCTGGTCTCGAACTCCTGACCTCAGGTGATCCACCCATCTCGGCCTCCCAAAGTGCTGGGATTACAGGCATGAGCCACCGTGCCCAACCTAATTTTTGTATTTTTAGTAGAGACGGGGTTTCACCATATTGGTTAGGCTGGTCTCAAACTCCTGACCTAGTGATTCATCCGCCTTGGCCTCCGAAAGTGCTGGGATTACAGGCGTGAGCCACTATGCCCAGCCTTACATGTGTTTTTCTAAATGCACTTAGAAATCAATGGGTAGGGCTTGGCTGCTTTAGCACACCGTCCCAGAATTCTACTGTGCCCATGGACCCAGAAAAACACAAGATGAGGACAAACAAGGAAAGCTTAGGTTTTCCCTGGAGAAAGAGGAAAGGCAGAAACAGACAGGACCATACAACTGGCCAGAAAGACCACCTGTAAGTGCCAAAAGAACCACACAGGCCACACCTTTAATTTCAGCACTTTGGGAAGCCAAGGTAGAAAATCACTTGAGGCCAGTAGGTTGAGAACAGCCTGGGCAACATAGCAAGACCCCATCTCTACAAAAAATTTTTTAAAGGCTGGGTATAGTGGCTCAAACCTATAATTCCAACACTTTGGGAGGCTGAGGTGGGAAAATTGGTCACTTGAGCCCACAAATTCAAGACCAGCCTGGGCAACGTAGTGAGACCCTGTGTCTATAAAAAAAATTAAAAAAAAAAAAAATCCGGCATGGTGGCCTATGTCTGTAGTCCCAGCTACTTAGGAAGCGGAGGCAGGAGGATCCCTTGAGCCCAGAAGGTTGATGCTGCAGTGAGCTGTGTTCATGCCACTGGACTTCAGCCTGGGTGACAAAGCGAGACCCTCACACACACACACACAAATTTCTTTTAATTAGCTGGGCATGGTGGCATGCACCTGTAGTCCTTACTACTAAGGACGCTAAGGTGGGAGGGCCACCTGACCCCAGGAGTTCAAGGCTGCAGTGGGACATGATTATACCACTGTACTCCAACCCGGGCAACAGAATGAGACTCTGACTCTAAAAAAAATAATAATAGGCTGGGTACGGTGGCTAACACCTGTAATCCCAGCACAGTGGGAGGCCGAGGCAGGCAGATCACTTGAGGTGAAGAGTTCGAGACCAGCCTGGCCAACATGGTGAAACCCATCTCTACTAAAAATACAAAAATTAGCCAGGTGTGGTGGCGGGTGCCTGTAATCCCAGCTACTCCTGAGGCTGAGGCAGGAGAATCCCAGCAGTTTGGGAGTCCAAGGCGGGCGGATCACCTGAGGTCAGGAGTTTGAGACCAGCCTAACCAACATGGTGAAATCCTGTCTCTACTAAAAATACAAAAACTAGCCTGGCATGGTGGGTGCCTGAAACCCCAACTACTCGGGAGACTGAGGCAGGAGAATCACTTGAACCAGGGAGGCAGAAGTTGCAGTGAGCTGAGATCGTACCACTGCACTCCAGTCTGGGTGACAGAGCGAGACTCTGCCTCAAAAAATAAATAAATAAATACATAAATAAAATTTTAAAAAAATGAAAATAAATAAACCACCCAGAAGGCGCTCTAAAGCAATAGTTAGATGCTCTCAGGAGGACTTGCCCTCCCCTCTCACACTGGTGCTGAAATACACCTGGAGCAGGGGCTCCTCTTACCTTATGCCGGGGGTCAGGTGTGGGGGGTGCTCTGCTATGAGTCTCTGCACCTGCTCCCTGGAGGGCTGGATGAGGGCTAAGCGCTCCGTGAGAGCAGATTTGAAAGGCACTGCCCCGCCCATGGCTCGCCATGTCCTAGGAGGGAGACCCAACAGTCAGGCCAGCCAGGTCCGCTGTCCTTGAGGTTAACATGCCTTACTGCCCCGGGTCCACACAACATCCACCAACAGGAAGATGCTACCAAGAGTCCCACTGTGCAACAGACAGGCTTTGCTGCTATGAGAGCAAGGCCCTGGAATAAACTTTTGAAGTTTTGCTTGAAAATAACATTAACAAGCTGGGCGCAATGACTCACGCCTATAATGCCAAAACTTTGGGAAGCTGAGGTGAGCAGATCACCTGAAGCCAGGAGTTCAAGACCAGCCTGGACAACATGACGAAACCCCATCTCTACTAAAAAAATGCTAAAGTCAGCCAGGTGTGGTGGTGCACACCTGTAATCCCAGCTACTTGGGAGGCTGAGGCAGGAGAGTTGCTGGAACCTGGGAGGTGGAGGCTGCAGTGAGACAAGATCGTGCCACTGCACCCCAGCCTGGATGACAGAGACTCCATCTCAAAAAAAACAAAAAAAAGTTACACAGTCTCTTCATAGGTAGTTTTCTTGAAAGCCGTGAGCTGTCATAAATCAAGAAAGAGACCAAAAGCTAAACGTTCTTCCATGAAAGGAAGTGGAAAATAAAATGGTGGCTAGGCGTGGTGGCTCATGCCTGTGATCCCAGCACTTTGGGAGGCCGAGGCGGGCAGATCACGAGGTTAGGAGTTCAAGACCAGGCTGGCCAACATGGTGAAACACCATCTCCACTAGAAATACAAAATTTAGCCGGGTGTGGTGGCGCACGCCTGTAATTCCAGCTACTTGGGAGGCTGAGACAGGAGAATTGCTTGAATCCAGGAGGTGGAGGTTGCAGTAAGCCGAGATTGCACCATTGCACTCCAGCCTGGTGACAGAGCAAGACACTGTCTTGAAAAAAAAAAAAAGAAAGAAAATGACATGGTGCATTACTGGGGGACTGGGGCTGCAGAGGGTGGTGCCCAGCTGCAGGACGGGAGGCGGGAGGGCAGGAGGGAGGGAGGGAGGGAGGGGCTCTGACCCAGGATCCATCAAGAGGCTCTGAACCTTTCTAGGGAACCACCAAGGCCACACTTTCAACTGTGACACAAAGCCGCTGGACACTTGGACCCCACCTCCCAGGCCATCTTCTTTGGCTAGTGATGGTTGTCATTTCCCTGATCGAGCTAAGAACATGTCTTATCCATATTTGTTTGCCATAAATATTTATATAAATGAATGAATATATCAAATTTAGCTCTAAGGAATGAAAGAAAAAGCCTAGTACTCGTGTTCCATAGCCAGGGTCTAGCACTTCATCCAAAACAGCCATTCTTTAGAAAGTCTTTATCATTTCATGGTTGGGTGCGGTGGCTCACGCCTGTAATCCCAGCACTTTGGGAGGCCGAGGCGGGTGGATCCCGAGGTCAGGAGTTTGAGAGCAGCCTGACCAACATGGTGAAACTCCGTCTCTACTAAAAATACAAAAATTAGCCGGGCATGGTTGCACACGCCTGTAATCCTAGCTACTCAGGAGGCTGAGGCAGGATAATCGCTTAAACCCGGGAGGTGGAGGTTGCAGTGAGCCAAGACTGTGCCATTGCACTCTAGTCTGGGCAAGAGAGTGAGACTCTGTCTCAAAAAAAAAAAAAAAAAAAAAAAAAGAAATTCTTTATCATTTTGTAAAGTGAATAAATGCTATCCCTACATTTCTGACACCACATCTTCTACACCACAGATTTTGGCTAGCTCACCAATTCCTTCTTCTCTGATGACCATGCTGTCAACATCAAAACATACAGCATTTGCTGAGTAGGAAAGCTTCCTTAGCTCTGAGTGGGAGATCATCCTTGGAAGAATTTTCCTCCTACAAGAAAAAAGATAAATGTATTTAAAGACATCAAATAAAATTATGAAAAGATCCCACCTTGCCTACTAAGCCAGCCTAATTTGTGTCAAAGTCAGTGCAGGCCCCATAAGAGTGTATTCATTAATTCAATCATTTCTTTTTCCTTTTTTTTTTTTGCTTCCCACACTATACCAATTTCTTCTTTCTTTCTGTTTTATTATTACTATTTTTTTTAGATGGAGTCTTACTCTGTTGCCCAGGCTGGAGGGCAGTGGCATGATCTTGGCTTACGGCAACCTCCACCCCCCTGGTTTAAGTGATTTTCGTGCCTCAGCCTCCTGAGTAGCTGGGATTACAGGCATGTGCCACCACACCCGGCTAATTGTTTATTTTTTAATTTTTTAATTTTTATTAGAGATGGGGTTTCACCATGTTGGCCAGGCTGGTCTTGAACTCCTGACCTCAGGTGATCTGCCCACCTCGGCCTCCCAAAGTGCTGGGATTACAGGTGTGAGCCACTGTGCCTGGCTGGTACCAACTTTTAAATATATTTGATGTTGAGGCTGGGTGCGGTGGGTCACTCCTGTAATCCCAGCACTTTGGGAGGCCAAGGCTGGCGGATCACCTGAGGTCAGGAGTTTGAGACCAGCCTGGACAACATGGTGAAATCTACTAAAAAAAGAAAAAAAAAAAATTAGCTGGGCATGGTGGTGAGCACCCATAATCCCAGCTACCCAGGAGGCTGAGGCAGGAGAATCACTGGAACCTGGGAGGCAGAGGCTGCAGTGAGCCAAGATGGCACCACTGCACTCCAGCCTGTTAGACAAAGCAAGACTGTCTGGAAAAAAAAAATATATATATATATATATAAATAAAAATATAAAACAGGTAACTACATAAACAAATATAAATATAAATATATGTATGATGTTGAACCAATATTCATTTATTTTTGACCTAATTGAAGAAAGAAAGCAAGCATTAAAGTAGAGGTGTGCATAAGGCTCTATGGGCACATAGGAAAAATGTTTAGCCTTATCTATGAAACAGGGCTTCACACTGGGCACAGTGGCTCATGCCTGTAATCCCAGCACTTTGGGAGGCTAAGGCAGGAAGATCGCTGAAGGCCAGGAGTTCGAGACCAGCCTGGGGAACACAGAGAGACTGAGTCTCTACTAAAAATAAGAATACAAAAAATTAGCTGGGCATGGTGGTACACACCTGTAATCCCAGCTACTTGGGAGGCTGAGACAGGAGAATCACTTGAACCTGGGAGGTGGAGGCTGCAGTGAGCTGAGATTGTGCCACTGTACTCCAGTATGGGCAACAGAGCAAGACCCTGACTCTAACTAAAGGAAAAGAAAAGAAAGAAGGCTTCAAGGAGGCACAGGTATTTCAGCTGAATCTGACAGGTTAAGTGGCCCTTTGAGTGGCTTGTCAAAGGGCAGGGTATCAATTTGGTGTGTGCTGGGAGGAGAGGAAGGGAGGTAGAGACAAGGAGAGAGGCTTGTGATGGCAGAGGGAGGAGTGTGAGCAAAGACAAGGAGGAGGAAGCAGATGACCTGCTGGAAGCTACCCCATGGCTTGGTCCAGGGGCCTGGCAGTGCATCAGGAGTTCAGATAAGCAGGTCCTAGGGCCAGGCTAAGGAGTTTAGACATTAGGCTTCAGGCACTGGAAAAGACTTTAAGCCTCAGAAGAAAGGTCAGAGCTAAATATAAGGGCTAAATATACACGTCGCCAATGTAGAGGTGCTAGTTGAAGACGTGATCTGATTAAAGGCCAGGGAGAGGCTGGGCGTAGTGGCTCATGCCTGTAATCCTAGCACTCTGGGAGGCTGAAGCAGGAAGATCACTTAAGGCCAGGAGTTCAAGACCAGTCTGGCCAACATGACAAAATCCCATCTCTACTAAAAATACAAAAATTAGCTGGGCAGGGTGGGGTACACTAGTAGTCCCAGCTACTTGGGAGGTTGAGGCAGGAGAATCACTTGAACCTGGGAGGTGGAGATTGTAGTAAGCCAAGATCACACCACTGCCCTCCAGCATGGGGCCATAGAGTGAGACCCTGTCTCAAGAAAATAAAAAATAACAAAAATAAAGTCCATGGAGAACAGAAAGAGGGAGAAGAGAAGAGCGCTAAGGATAGAGCCTACAGGAGCACCACCTTTACGTCCTGACTTGAGCCTGGGAAGAAGGAAAATGGTGAAGGTACAGGAAGAAACTTTGGGAGGCACACTGCTACAGAAGCTGCAGAGGACAGAGATTCAAAAAGAATTTTTTTTTTTTGAGACAAGTTCTCACTCTGTCACCCAGGCTGGAGTGCAGTGGTACGATTGTGGCTCACTGCAGCCTCCAATCCCTGGGCTCAAGCGATCCTCCTGCCTCAGTCTCCCAAGTAGCAGGGACTACAGGCACGTGCCACTATGCCTGGCTAATTAAAAAAAAATTTTTTTTGTACAGATGGGGGTCTTGCTATGGTGCCCAGACTGGTCTTGAACTCCTGGATTCAAGCAATCTTCCCACCTAGATCTCCCAAAGTGGTGGGATTACAGGCATGAGGCCCCCATACCTGGCATTTATGTGTTAGAAAATCTTTGGACTAGAATTAGGGTGAAAGGGATCCTCAACGTTGCCTAGACTAGCCTCCCATCAGAGACTAATATGTCAAATACAAGGCTACACAGATGATGTAAATAATCTATATTTAGAATAGACTGTGGTTAAAAACAGACTCAAAGCAGCTGAGCAACCCACTGTTCAACTGATTTTTAACCAATGCAGTTGGCAGAATAATGCCATTTAAAGTTGACCTGGAAAAAAAATCTTTTAAGTCAGGGGTCAGCAAACTATGGCTTGTAGGCCAAATTCACCCTGCCACCTGGTTTTGTATGGCTCACAAGTAAGAACGATTTTTACATTTTATTTTACTTTATTTTTTTGAGACAGGATCTCATTCTATCACCTAGGCTGGAGTGCAGTGTTGCCATCATAGCTCGCTGCAGCTTCAAACTCCTGGGCTCAAGTGATTCTTCCATCTTGGGCTCTCGAGTGGCTGGGACTACAGGTGTGAGCCACCATGCCTGGCTGATTTTTACATTTTAAACAGTTGAAAAAAAATCAAATAGAAGAATAGTATTTTTTGACATGTAAAAATTAATGAAATTCAAATTTCAGGCTGGCTACAGTGGCTCACGCCTGCTAATCCTAGCACTTTGGGAGGCTGAGACAGGAGGATTACTTGAAGCCAGGAGTTCAACATCAATCTGGGCAACATAGCAAGACCCCATCTCTACAAACGTATTTTTAAAATCAGCCAGGTGTGATGACACACACCTATAGACCTAGCTACTCAGGAGGCTGAGGCAGAAGGATTGCTTGAGCACAGGAGTTTGAGGCTGCAGTGAGCTACGACCATGACACTGCACTGCAGCCTGGGTGACAGAATGAGAGCCTGTCTCAAAAGTAATAATAATAAATAAAAATGAAATGCAAATTTCAGTGTCTATTAATAATTCTTTTTTTTTTTTTTTTTTTTTAAGGAGTCTCACTCTGTCACGCAGGCTGGAGTGCAGTGGCACAATCTTGACTCACTGCAATCTCTGCCTCCCAGGTTTAAGCAATTCTCCTGCCCCAGCCTCCCGAGTAGCTGGGATTACAGGCACATGCCACCATGCCCAGCTAATTTTTGTATTTTAGTAGAGATGGGGTTTCACCATGGTGGCCAGGCTGGTCTCAAACTCCTGTCCTCAGTAGAGATGGGATTTCACCATGGTGGCCAGGCTGGTCTCAAACTCCTGTCCTCAAGTGATCCACCTGCCTCAGCCTCCCAAAATGCTGTGATTACAGACCAGCCTAGCCAACATGGTGAAACCCTGTCTCTATAAGAAAAGATAAAAAATAAAAAGAAAAAGTAAAAAGAAACCAGTCATTTGGCTTCGGTCCAGCAGGAATCAAGCTAATTCATACTACATGCCCAGGCAGGCTCACTGTAAAGGCGTTGAAAGTCAGCAGGTCTATCAGCAGAGAAACAGCACTTATTGTAATGCAATTCCACTAAGTATGGAGAATGAAGCATAAGTGAGTGAATAGGAAGCCAGAAACAGACAAATAGTGTAAAAGCAGCTAAAATGAGATAAGTGGGACAAGCTAAAGAACTTTTTAAGAAGATACAAGAGAGGCTGAGTGTGGTGGCTCATGCCTGTAATCCCAGAACTTTGGGAGGCTGAGGAGGGCAGATCACCTGAGGTTGGGAGTTTGAGACCAGCCTGACTAACATGGAGAAAACCCATCTCTAGTAAAAATACAAAATTAGCTGGGCATGGTGGCGCATGCCTGTAATCACAGCTATTCAGGAGGCTGAAGCAGGAGAATCGCTTGAACCCGGGAATTGGAGTTTGCGGTGAGCTGAGATGGCACCATCGCACTCCAGCCTGGGCAACAAGAATGAAACTCCATCTCAAAAAAAAAAAAAAAAGAAGGTACATGAGGCAACACAACAGAACTAAGAATGGGCAATGCTACTGAGAACGACTGATGGGCACCAGAACCTCAAAGCCAGTCCCCAGGGACCCGGACACAAGACCCGAGAGAGGAATGCATGGGCGCCATCTTCAAGAGGCTTCCAGTGTTGTTGAGATGATCAGACAAATAATTACTGGCCATGTTTGAAAAACCAGGTGCTTTGGCCGCGAGCGATGATCATGCCTGTAATCCCAGCACTTTGGGAGGCCGAGGTGGGCGGATCACCTGAGGTCAGGAGTTTGAGACCAGCCAGGCCAACACAGTGAAACCCCATCTGTACTAGAAGTACAAAAACTAGCCAGGTGCTTGTAATCCCAGCTACTCAGGAGGCTGAGGCAGGAGAATCGCTTGAACCCGGGAGGCGGAGGTTGCAGTGAGCCGAGATAGTGCCAGTGCACTCCAGCTTGGGTGACAAGAGCGAAACTCTGTCTCAAAAAAAAAAAAAGACAAACTAGGTACTTGAACCTCTTTCCAACCACTGACACTAGCAATAGCTTCAATGAGACTGGCCGAGTGCAGTGGCTCACACTTGTAATAATTCCAGCACTTTGGGAGGCTGAGACAGCAGGATCCCTTGAGCTCAGGAGTTTGAGACCAGCCTGGGGAATATAGTGAGATTACTTCTCTAAAAGAATAATAAAAAAAAATTGGTGGGGCATGGTGGTGCACGCCTGTGGTCCCAGGTATTCAAGAGCCTGAGGTGGTAGGATGGCTGGAGCCCAGGGGTTCAAGGGTGCAGTGAGCCGAGATCAGGCCATAGCACTCCAGCCTGGGTGACAGAGTGAGACACCGTCTCAACAAAAAAAAAAAAAAAAAAAAAAAAAAAAAAAAAAAAGCAAGACCATCAGCCTTGAGTTTGAAAGGAAATGTACATTTCCTCCACTAAAAGTTAGAACTGATTTACACATCCCCAGCTGACCACTAGGCCTAATATACAGCTCAGAATTGTTGACACCTGCCTTCTGGGTTGTAATGTGGTCCCAAGGAGAAAACAGAGTATTTTTGGCTATTTTTTTAGAGACAAGGTCTCACTCTGTCACCCACACTGGAGTGCCAATGGTGTAATCATAGCTCACTGTGGCCTCAGCCTCCTGGGCTGAAGTGATCCTCCTGCCTCAGCCTCCTGAGTAGCAGAGACTACAGGCACACACCACCACACCCAGCTAAGTTATTATTATTATTATTATTATTATTATTATTGCAGAGATGAGGTCTCACTATATTACCCAGGCTGGTCTTGAATTCCTGGCCTCAAATGATCCTCCCATCTTGCCTCCCAAAGTGCTGGGATTATAAGCATGAGCCACAGTGCTGGCCAAAATAGAATGTTAGAGACACACTTTACATTGAATTTACTTGGAAGGCTGATTCTTTTTCCACACCCTCCCTAGGAGAGCGAGCAGGATTTTAGGACCTTAACTCTGCCCATGAAATGGACAGGCCAGGGGAGATGGCCTTCACCCGTTGGGTTACAAGAGTATCAGCTCCCTCCCTGCTTGATTGAGCAGCTGAGCAAACTCGGCCACAGCTCCTTTGAGCTCTTTCCATCCTGCTCTGCAAAATGCTGTACTTCTGATTTCCTCCTTTTTTATTTTTATTTTTATTTTTGAGATGGGGTCTCACTCTGTTGCCCAGGCTGGAGTGCAATGATGTGATCTCGGCTCACTGCAACCTCCGCCTCCCGGGTTCAAGCAATTCTCCTGCCTCCCGAGTAGCTGGGATTGTCACTCCACAGTGCCTGGCTAATTCTTTTGTATTTTTAGTAGAGACGGAGTTTCACCATGTTGGCCAGGCCGGTCTCAAATTCCTGACCTCAAGTGATCCACCTGCCTCCACTTCCCAAAGTGCTAGGATGACTGGTGTGAGCCACCACGCCTGGCCGATTTCCTCCTGTTTTCATTGTCTCTACCAGGAGTGACTCACAATCCATGCATGTTTAAAATTCTTGTGGCTATAGGGGAAAAAAAGTCTGCCTAGTAAGTTCAGTTGCTTCAAAGTAAATTGTGTACATCAGAATTCCACACACAGAAAAATCATTGCCGGAGAATGGACTCTGGATTCTTCATATTTGGCTCTAACAGGGAGGGAGAGGGCAGGGCCAGGGGTAGAAGACATGCCGGTGGGAAGGTCTATTCTCAGATTCTCAGACACAG